GGTAACTGATTGAGTTATTGAGTGCTCCTAGTATAATCTGCTTAAGCTGCATGTCGGCACTCTGAATAAATGAAGCTGACTCTATGGAGTTGCCCTTTGAAGTCCAGCAAAAATTAATTTCTTATGTGTTATATAAGTATTGCCAGCAGCTATAAAGCAAATGTAACCAGACAAATAGCTTACAGCTCAATCTTTGCAAGTCAGTGGCTCACTCGGTCTACGGAGAATTTTTTTTTGTTCTCACAAGTGATGTCTTCCAAGTAAGCGTTCCCTGCTTCTACATGTAGTCAGCAGTCAGTGTTGTGTGTTCATAAGTACTGACTGAACTGTCTTGGTGAAGTGGGGTGACGAGTTCTTGAAATGTGTGGTATTTGTCAGCCAGCTGAATCGGACCATTGTTTGTGGGTGAACGCTTCCAGTGTTACACATGATATATTGTAATACCAAAAACAGGAATGCTTTCTTTTTCTTATGAACTGAAATGGTTCACGCTGAGTTTTTCACTTCCAACTGTTTGGTTGGGCTTTTTCCTGCCTAAACTCTTTATTTTGTTGTTTTAATGTGGAGCCTGAAATTTGAATTTCACAGTGTGTGGACGTGCGTGGGACTACACTCACAGAACGATTGTTCTTCTCTGCAGCGGTCCTTCAGCATTCCCTCTTGTCTCTGTAGCGCTGTTTGGAGCCTCTGCTCTGCCCGTTGCTTTAACCAGGGGTCGCGTGGGGCTGAAAATGCCGTTTGCAGCTTTAGCTGGAGGGTCTTTACGCTTATCTCTCCTTGCCTGCATGGCCCTGCTGTCTCATTCTCTCTCTCTCACTCTCGATGTATCTGTATATCTCGTCTCCTCTGCACAGCTTTCTTCACCACTTGCTGTGATAACTCCCCCTCATGAATTTTTCTCTTTGCTTAATATGAGGCTGCTACTTCTATATCTCTACTACTATATCATCCCACACTAACTTTTTGCAGCTTTGTCTTGCACTTACTATGCCAACTATAATACTCTTTATCTCAGGTTTGAGCATAAAATGCAGGATAATTGACTGACTCTACAGATCTTTTACCAAGTTTTATGTTTTCAGTTGGTTGCTATGGACCAGATTTGTGGGCAGCATCAGTGCAAAATGTTCTTTTGGTGTTGAAGATCTGCTGCTCAGATTTTATAAAGAGGCACAATGAATATTTTTCAAACTAAACTGGGTGGAGGTTTCCCTTTCAGTGCACAACAATTTTGGGAGAAGGGTATTCAAATGATTCACACAAACATGAGGAGAGCGGTAGGCTAGTTATTGCAAATAACACTGAATTTATCACTGAAAAAATGCATGTCTCATTTTACAGCTTTTGTGGTTGTGATAGTTGTCACTGGGTGTTAATTTATTGCAGAGGGTTATCAGAATGGCAGACTGAACTGAACCTAATGTGGAATGTGGTGGGAGGAAGAGAGGCCCAATATAGCAGAAATCAAACGTGTATAACAGAAAAGACTACTCCACCGTCGGGTCTCCAGCTCACTGTATTCATATCCTGCAAAGTATAATCTAGGCCTAAGGTGTAAAACCTGTGCTTACCCTGTAACAATTTGGCGAGTACAGTACTCACTCCCACATTGGTTCCGCTTGATTTTGACCTGCTGAGTTGTGCTGCTCTTTGTAGAAATCTGGTCACAGTGGTTAGTAGATTTTTTGCAGAACTTTCCACTCCCATCAGTGCATTTGATGATGGTGATTGTGGCCTCATGCTAAGTGCACAAACTGTCAGAGAATGAAAACGTTTGACAAAATTTCAAATTTCTTAAACTTCCTAAACTATCTGAGCAGCTTCTTGATGCATGCTCAATCATCCAGTTAAATAAATCCCCAAAAGGGGAGTCTGTTGATCTGGACGTAGTGTTTTTAGTGGGAGACACATTTTCTCATCCAAGTGACTTCTTCCATCTGAAGAAGTCACTTGGATGAGGTAATTCAGAAGGTACAGGGAGTGCAGAATTATTAGGCAAGTTGTATTTTTGAGGAATAATTTTATTATTGAACAGTAACCATGTTCTCAATGAACCCAAAAAACTCATTAATATCAAAGCTGAATGTTTTTGGAAGTAGTTTTTAGTTTGTTTTTAGTTTTAGCTATTTTAGGGGGATATCTGTGTGTGCAGGTGACTATTACTGTGCATAATTATTAGGCAACTTAACAAAAAACAAATATATACCCATTTCAATTATTTATTTTTACCAGTGACACCAATATAACATCTCCACATTCACAAATATACATTTCTGACATTCAAAAACAAAACAAAAACAAATCAGCGACCAATATAGCCACCTTTCTTTGCAAGGACACTCAAAAGCCTGCCGTCCATGGATTCTGTCAGTGTTTTGATCTGTTCACCATCAACATTGCGTGCAGCAGCAACCACAGCCTCCCAGACACTGTTCAGAGAGGTGTACTGTTTTCCCTCCTTGTAAATTTCACATTTGATGATGGACCACAGGTTCTCAATGGGGTTCAGATCAGGTGAACAAGGAGGCCATGTCATTAGTTTTTCTTCTTTTATACCCTTTCTTGCCAGCCACGCTGTGGAGTACTTGGACGCGTGTGATGGAGCATTGTCCTGCATGAAAATCATGTTTTTCTTGAAGGATGCAGACTTCTTCCTGTACCACTGTTTGAAGAAGGTGTCTTCCAGAAACTGGCAGTAGGACTGGGAGTTGAGCTTGACTCCATCCTCAACCCGAAAAGGCCCCACAAGCTCATCTTTGATGATACCAGCCCAAACCAGTACTCCACCTCCACCTTGCTGGCGTCTGAGTCGGACTGGAGCTCTCTGCCCTTTACCAATCCAGCCACGGGCCCATCCATCTGGCCCATCAAGACTCACTCTCATTTCATCAGTCCATAAAACCTTAGAAAAACCAGTCTTGAGATATTTCTTGGCCCAGTCTTGACGTTTCAGCTTGTGTGTCTTGTTCAGTGGTGGTCGTCTTTCAGCCTTTCTTACCTTGGCCATGTCTCTGAGTATTGCACACCTTGTGCTTTTGGGCACTCCAGTGATGTTGCAGCTCTGAAATATGGCCAAACTGGTGGCAAGTGGCATCTTGGCAGCTGCACGCTTGACTTTTCTCAGTTCATGGGCAGTTATTTTGCACCTTGGTTTGTCCACACGCTTCTTGCGACCCTGTTGACTATTTTAAATGAAACGCTTGATTGGTCGATGATCACGCTTCAGAAGCTTTGCAATTTTGAGACTGCTGCATCCCTCTGCAAGATATCTCACTATTTTAGACTTTTCTGAGCCTGTCAAGTCCTTCCTTTGACCCATTTTGCCAAAGGAAAGGACGTTGCCTAATAATTATGCACACCTGATATAGGGTGTTGATGTCATTAGACCACACCCCTTCTCATTACAGAGATGCACATCACCTAATATGCTTAATTGGTAGTAGACTTTCGAGCCTATACAGCTTGGAGTAAGACAACATGCATGAAGAGGATGATGTGGACAAAATACTCATTTGCCTAATAATTCTGCACTCCCTGTAGTTTGGTTTTCTTTCCCCATCAGGCTACAATGAAAATCTGGCAGAGGTGATGGGATTACAATCACCAAAGCCAGGGCTAATAATTTCTTCAGCAACTTCTTCAGTCTGAAAGAGGTTAAAATATTACACAACATCCTTTTTTTAAGCAAGTCACTACAGTCTGAAGAGGCCACTTGGATGAGTGCCGAAACGTTTTGCTCACTGAAAATGCTGCGTCCAGATGAACAGAATCAACTGTTGGGTACCTGAGCAGCTGTCTAAATCATAAATACATTCGTATTTTAATATAATAAAACCTAAGAATAAATATATGAAGAAGATGGATCTACACTCTCTGGTTTATAGAGTTAAATTATATGTAATGAGTCACTATTGGATCTGACTTAGAAACCGAGTGATACTGTATGCTCATGCTGTAGTGACTTGCATAAAAAAGAATGTTGTGTAATATTTTAACCTCTTTATGCTGCAGTATAAAGCACCTTGAGATGACTATTGTTGTGAACTAATGCTATATGTATAGGATTATTGTCTATTTTACACCAAATTGGACCTTCATTTGCAAAAATGAGTATTATACTGTTTTACCTAAGATTTGAAATTAGCTCAACTTTGAAAGAGCATAAGGTCGTCATTGGAGTGTTTTTACTAAGATCATAAATCACTTTAGAAGAGAATAATTTTCCCATAGACTTTAGTTAGAAAAGTCTCCCCTGGCCACTGGAAGGAATGCAAGTTTCAGGCAATTACACGTTGCTGAATGCTATGTGCGTTGTTTATATGTGGAACTTGTTTGTATTAGAACTTGGAAAAGCCTAAATTTCTCACGTTTGAAAACATAAAATTATTCTCTGTTTGCCTTTTTTTGTTTCAAAAGTACTGAAATCAAACAAATGTGTTAATTTTCTTTTGTTGCAATTCTTGCACTTGATCCTGGCTATGCTAAATGTCTACCATCATTGGGTGCTAAAGTTGTTTGGGTGCTGGAGCTGATGGCTTTCATACTTGAGTAGAAGAATAAGTGCTGAAGGCTTCACACACGCGCGATTAACATCACTAAAATGATTTTGGAGTTGAGTGAAATTCAGAGGGTAATTTGGTTTTCTTTCCCCATCAGGCTACAATGAAAATCTGGCAGAGGTGATGGGATTACAATCACTGAAGCCACAGATAATCATTTCAATTAGAGGACTCTCTCAAGGAAAACTCAGCCCTGTAGTGGAGCGCTTATATGTATCCATAAAATAAATCATTTTTATGTACCCGTAATAGGCTTACACTATGAAATGTGAGAGCACGGCTCAACCACTTTCTTCTCTATATAGACCGTCTCTGCTCAGCTAACCTTTCTTTCCCTTTGATGTGGCTGAATAAAGGAAGGAGAAAGAAAACAAAATGATTTGCCTTCATCTCTAAATCTGTGCTGGACTCTTGTTTAAAACCTCTTCTCCCTCTCTACAGGTCGGCTTCTTGAAGACACAGCACCGGTATGAAATAGTGTTCACCCTGCCTGAGATCCCAGCTCTGGGTAAAAATGTGTGTCCAGCGCCGCTACCCGGTCCACACCTCCGGATCACTGATATCACACCGGCACAAGAGGGTGAGGTCACGAGCGATGGAAAAACAAAAAACAGTTTTCCATTAAAATTGTGAAAAGTAATAATAATGTAAATTTGTAATTACGTTCAAATGATCAATGCCTGTCTGTGTCGCATCTTTTGACTGATGACTTTGAGCTAAACTAGGTCACTGGTTTGGGATTTGTCCATCATGATCAGTCTTATGTAACATGTTAGCTTAATGATTACTGAAAAAGTCAAAAATGGGAAAATCATTTTTCATGTAGTGCAGTCTTTATGTCAGATGTGATTATTTTAGATTCGCTTTAGGTAATAAAACCAAATCAGTAGTAACAGATTAGTGAATATAGCATAAGGACTGCACAACAGGCTGGCCTAAAGTCTAATATGTTAGTACCAATGCTGTGGTTTTATACTCCTATTGCTTTTAAAACCATAATATCATCTTCTTTTTCTTTGTTTGGCTGATCCCTTTAGGAGTCGTATGATGCCCTGTTAGCCTGTGCGCTGCTATACAAAGCTTTGTAGCCTCTCCAGAGTACATCGCACAAGGTTTACATTGTGTTGTCTGTTTTTGGAGGACTGCAGGCGAGTGTACCTCTGTAGCCTCTGCATTGGTTGAACTCCCATGATCCCTCTCTCTGAGAGCTAACAGAGACAAAAGCAGGAGCATAAATCCGGCTTTAGTCAGTGACCAGACTCTGTAATATTGTCAGACTTACCGGCGTTTAATAAGCAGATGCTAAGAAGAAAAAACCATAATAACAACACAGAGTAGCGTTACTAGAATGATCTGCATGCAGGCTGCTATTGACGTTAGTTGTACCTTTATCATTATTCTAACTACAAAATGTGTTGCAATAAAAACAGAGGCTTGGCTACAGAAGAAATGTTTGTAGATTAGATGAGTTATCATACGTTCTGTAATTTGGGAGCAGAGCAGTTACTACAGTTGCAATAATCTCAATTAAATGGAGGAAATGTCTTCCACTAACAGCTCACATGTATGTTGCCTGAGAGGTGAAATACAGGCTAAAAACTCAATTAAATGCTTATCTAAAGCTGTGAGATAAGCTGGTACATGTTGATAGTTATTTTGTTAAACTAATCAGCTGCCATCCTTCAGCCCTCACTTTCAGTGACACGAAGCCCTGTTCTTTCCCAGTCAGTATATGTAAAACAAGCTGCATTTGCAGTTTACAGTCATTAGTTTCCTGTTTAAACTGTGAGTCAGGCAGACCTTTTGTGGTATAAAGGTCATTGGTACTGTGTTTACAATACATTTGGGTCATTTTATATCAAAATCTCATAAAAAAAAAAAAGTTCCCAACTGAACACCTCAGACTATGATCATATTAGAAAACTGCTTTGAGGAATCATGGCTCGAAGATGACCTGATATCAAAATGTAGGGAAAATGAGACATTTCATATTCTGTAACACGTTTTCACTGACCAACTATCTCACCTATCTCCAGTGAATGATCACAAGACAGGTAAACCATCCAGGGCACCAATGCTGAGGTTTTATACTCTTTGTTGTCATAGACATTAAATTGCTAGTAACACCATGCTTCTTCTTCTTCTTCGGCCGATTCCTTTTAGGGAATTGCCACAGTGGATCATCTTCCTCCACCTCACCTTGTCAACACCAACCCTCTGCATGTCCTTCACTACATCCAGGAACCTCAACTGTTGTCTTCCTTTCTTCCTGCCTGCCTGCTCCATCTTCAACACCCTTTGTCCGATATATCCTCTGTCTCTGCTCTGCACATATGCAAACATCTCAGTCTTGTCTCTCTAACTTTGCCACCAAACTGCCTGAGCCATCCCTCTGATGCACTCAGTTTTCTAATCTTGTCCATTCTTGTCACTCCCAGTGAAAATCTTACATCTGCTTTCTGCCACCTCCACCTCGGCTAATGTTGATCTGCAAAATGATCCACTGTGCAGTTCCAACTGGAAATCGACTGATTGGCAACAGCATTAAAAAACAGATTATAATTCATCGTAACTCAACATTATTGACGCAGTGTGTTGACAGAGAACATAATAAAAGGCAGAAACGTCCAAAAAAGGGCTTTGACTGTCCTTCAAGAACCCTCAAGAACTATTCCAACTTGAAGACATTACAAGAAAGCTGCCTCAGAGAGTTCGGACTGTGTTGAAGGATAGTGGCAGTCATATTTTTCGAAAGCATAGCTAAGCTAAAAAGTAAGTAACTCGGCAGCACAGTCCCAGGCTGCAGAGTTCCAGATGGCTGAGGATTACAGCAGCAGACAGTTCAGCTCATGTCAGCACAGAGATCCTTCTTTGAAAAAAAATAAAATAAATCATAGGAACAGATCTGACTTTCAGACGCTTTCCTGTGTTTCTCTGTGTTCCTGCCGCCCGTCATGCCGCAATAGTCGGTAAACCCTAAACATCTGCCACCTGTGTGGGCTAAAAAAAGACATTTTTTAACTGCTAGCATGAACGTGAGCTTCTCCTGGCCAATAAAACAGCTGAAATGGGTCAGAGGTTTCTGGGAGTCATGCCGACTGCATGCCTGTAATTGAAGCAGGTTACTGACCTTTACTTTCAGTTTATCGTCACACCCTTTATATTACTCTCAGCCTGATTATGTTAACAGGTGTGCTACTATGTTTGTCTTGTGTGTGTGCGCGTGTGTGTGTGTGTATATATTCATGTGCTTATCAGTCAGTTGTGTTTGTTTTTTTTCCATCCTGTTGACATTTTGTTCTGGATTGTCTGACACTCGAATTATCCTTATGAAAAACATCTCACGCAGAGACGATAAAGTAGAGATGTGTGTGCGTTAGTAAAATGTGCCAATAAAGAGGAAACTTACTCTCTTTTCTGTCTTTGTTGCTATTTTTTTGTCCTGCATGTCTCTCCAGGAGGTCTGAAGATAACGTGCGAGTACATAACCCAGCACGAGGGAGTTCTGTGTGAGGAGGTGAGGCTGCTGAGCGAGACCAACGACGACGTCTGCGTCAGAGTTAAAGTTCACGCCAGAGTCATGGGTAAGGTTGTGTTTAACAACATATATGTGATAATATAATCTTGTCTGCTTCTTCTGTATAAATAGTTACAAATACACCACATTGTATCCTATAAAAGACCTTTTTCTTTTTTTTATAGCTGAGGCATTGTGTAGTTGATTGATTTTTCAGTCATTACCATACGACTACCTATGCCCGTGAGACTTTCTATTATAAAACCATTAATCATTTGGGAACTTATTAAACTGAAATGACTGGAAGGCTTCCATAGATTAGTTGCTAAGGCTCATGAAACCTCGAAGGAAGGCCAAAGACGATTTACCTCATTAAGTGTAGAGGACAAACTGACCAGGAGCCATTTGGTTTAGTTTTTATCACTTAATTTGATTAATAAAATTTCATAAACTTGTGGAAACAAATCATACATTTTCCACAGGTTTTCTAAAATCTGAAGTGGTTCTTAAAAGTGTTTTTTTTTGTTTGTTTGTTCCTCCATGTCTTCTTACATGAGGTAAAATACATAAATACCTGATTAACTTATTGATAAATGATTTATTTGATAATTAATATATAATTGGTAGTTCTCCCAGACTGTTAAATGACCTATAAAGTTAAATGATCAAACTACATAACATCAGAATTTGCCCTCACTGACCGCTTCATTGAGTACACCTGTTCAAGGACGCATCAATGAAAGCGCCTACTCAGCGAGTCACATTGCAGCAGCTCGATGCTTTTATCCATGTAGACATGACCTTTGGGATGTGGTGGAACAGGAGATTCACATCATGGATGTGCGGCAGCTGTGTGACGCTGTCATGTCAACATGGACCAAAATCTCGGAGGAATGTTTCCGGCACTTTGTTGAATCATGAAGAATTAAAGCAATGTTGAAGGTAAAAAAGAGGGCCAACGCGGTTCTAGTAAGGTGTACCTAATAAAGTGTCCTGTGAGTGTATTTTCATTATATTTTACTTTTTAATTTATAAATGATCAGTCATTTCTTCTTTGGTTTTAAAGGGAGAACTAACAGATAATCCCAAAGGTCGCTTGTTTCTGGTGTGCTGCTGCCACCTGCTGGTTACTTTGAATTTTTGGGTCTGAATAACTTTTAAAACAACAACCAAAGTAAGTCACAATGAACCACTAAAAAAGAAAGGCTAAATTTTTTTGTGGTCAAATTTTTTAAAATAATAAAACCAAAAATGTTCAGAAATACTAACCGAAAAATCATTTTAAAAAGTCCCCTTTTCTGTGGTGAGGGATACGACAGAAACAATATGGCTCTTGTAATCCATAAATCTTTTGTTCTGCTCTGTCCTGCTGCGCGGAGGCTGTAATAATAAATTTGCATCCTCCTCTTCAATCCATGTCAGTGAGACTGAATTAGTCTGTGGCGTTTCTCTCAGCAGATGGAGAATTAGTTAAAGAATTAGTTAAAGGGGGTGCGCAGTGTGTTTTTCCATCTGTGTCTGTGTAAATATAGCAGAACGTGGTGTGTGTGTGTGTGTGTGTGTGTGTGTGTGTGCGTGCGTGCGTGCGTGTGTGGTACTTGCGTAGTTGAGGATGAATGATGGCTGTGTTGTTTAGTGTTTATTTTTATCCTCATAATGTGGCCTGAACATCTGTTCAGATGTTTGTGTGTAACTGAGTCCTGGATGAAAACCAGATCAATGGATTAAACTCTACGTCAGCTGTACCGCTCACATCAGATCAGTGACGGAGTATAATACAACTCAGCTGCAGGCTGAGCCTTTAGTCTTGTATAAATACACATGGTTGTTATCCGATGTATAGTTAATTATTATATATCCAGTGAGGCTGATAGGAAGCGTCCTAATGGTAGTTTTTAGTTAGTTATTAAAATGTAAAAAGTGATTTTATCTTGTAGGGAAACTGTAATAGACATTCCCAATATTTTAATCTAATTTGATGAAAGCTTGAACTGCTAGTTATTTTTATGTTCATCTATTCTTAAGGTGGTCGTTTGTTGGAGCCCATATACGTTATTTCTTAATACCTTAAAAAAACGGTGTATCCAAAACAGTATGGTAAAAAGAATCACCTGATGTCAAAGTGCTTTAAGTCTTTAGCCACTCACCGGTGACGATCAAAACATGTACTGTTAGAAAGCAGATTAGTGAGTTTCACATGTTGCAAGTAGGTAAGATAACAATAGGAGTGGCTGCAGACAAGCTCGCAAACGTGTGGGAGTAGTTTGAGCTGGGACTCTCCACCATTTGACCCTTTGAACTGAAGAAGCTTCTCGGATGAGAGGTGAAACGTCTTCAAGCAACTTAAAGAAGTCCAGACGCTTTTCTTTCCAAGGTCCTTAGACTATGATGGCCTGGATGAGTAGTTTAGTTATTTCATGGACATATATCGTGTGTCCAGAGGGGAAGGGGATGTGTTACTTGTGAAAATTTTAAGCTTTGTAACTGTACATTCAGCTGTGTATTTTGAAGTCTACGACAGACTTCTGGCAGTAATTTTGGCAGTATTAGGGCTGGGGGGAAAAAAAATTAAAGAAATTGCATTGGCCGGGAATCGAACCCGGGCCTCCCGCGTGGCAGGCGAGAATTCTACCACTGAACCACCAATGCGTTGCTGCATGTGTATCCTGCAGTCACGAAAAAAAGCATGCGCCTGCTGCTGCAGGGTGGGGGGAGGGACTGTGGAGAAGTAGAGTAGATGCCTCAGGGGAGAAGGAGGAGGGGGGTGAAAAAGGGGGCTGCCTCTCTTAAAGGAGCCGCTCGGTCTGTGTCTCTCACACCGTGTGCACATCGTGGATTATATACATGAGTTTGAGACCGATGCCTGAGCTTTTTAAAGCCAAGTGCTCACAGGTCATGTTTCCACTTCTAAATGCTCTACAACAAGACTTAAAGGAAGGAAAATATGTCACTCTCTTTTTTGCCTCTGTTTGCTCAAATACTTGGATGTTGTGAAACTGTTCATAATGTGCAAAGGTGTGGCTGGAATAGGCTGACGATGTTTTATTGTTATTGCACCAGAACATGCCATCAAAGGTTATTGTCAGATTGTAATGTAGCTCCAAATAACTGACTCCTGTCAGACATTTCCAGTGCCTGACTTTCAGTGGTTGTGTCTAGCTGAAGGGTTTCAAATTGATTTAGTTCATGGACCACATTCGATTCAGTTCTGCTTTATTTAAACAGCACCAATTCACAGTGACAATCACTTCAAGGCACTTTATATTTTAAGGTACAGACACTACAGTATTAGAGAGGAAACCCCAGCAATCACACAGTCCTGTATGAGGGAGCACTTGGCAATAGTGGGAAGGGAGATTAAACAGGAAGAGATATCAGAAAGAAAAAGTTATAGATATCCAATGTTTCTTTAATTTGAGCGAGAAATAAAATTTGTTACTTTTAGGTCATTCAGGCTTCGTGCTGGGACAGCCACTCTCATAACGCCATCCACTCTAAACTAACAGCACAAGGCTTCCTGGTACTAGAACGTCCAGAAATTCGGACTTGTTTCTCTGCAGATTTTAGACTCTGCAGCCATCTAGTGGACGGATATCGACTCTTATGCTCAATCACAAAGAGCCGCCTCCACGTCTAAAAGCCTTAAAGTTCATATTTAAAATTTGTAGTTTTTATGTGCAGACCAGTTTCATGCCTGAACACTGGGCCATATAGTACTACATGATCAAAGGTCTTTTTACTTTTTTCAAATGTAAATTTCCAACATAACTATTGACTTATCACATTTAGGTTTGTAAAGAAAGCTACAAGAGTCTTGAATATGTGCAGGATCAGAATCTGTATTTATTTTGTTTTAAATTAACATTTAGATTATTTAGTTTCATTAAATGCCTCTTACAGTAAATTCAGGCTAGTGAAGCAGGTTATTTCCCAGCATGCCCTTAGCAGTCGACAGCCTTGATTAATCTCTCATTACAGTTCATATTGTAATGTAAGAATCGCGCTGATTAGAGTAACGATTTCTTTTTGTCTCTCTGCCTCTTGTCCAGATCGTCACCATGGTACCCCCATGCTGCTGGAAGGCATTCGCTGCATCGGTCCGGAGCTCGAGTACGACTCTGAGCAGAGTGACTGGCAGGGATTTGACTAAATGTCAGCCTTCTGTTCCCAGTTGTTTCACACATCCACAAACGCCTACAGAAGTTCACACACCTGCCATCTTCACAGATAGAAAAAGAAACAGAAACCTCCTGAGCTGCCCGTTAACACACACACACACACACACACACACACACTATTAGTGCCACAGGCTGTGCAGCTTTTCCACCTCTGGTGTGATTCACTGTTCACTGGACCTCAGAAATGGTTTTCATCCTGAGACGTGAAAAACATTCCTCAGCTCTGACCTTCACTCTGAAGGAACATGTAATTAAGTCCTCTTGCTTTTCTGTCTTCAACTGTTGTGCTTTCCTTGTTCATCCGTTAGAGGGCAGCGTCTGCCTGTAAATCAGCACAGCCTCACAACTACTTGTGGTTCAGTTTTAGTCTTTTTCTGATGTGCAAAGCCCGCCTGGATTCATAGAGTTAGGAGTAAACAAGGGCTCATTTACGACTTCAAAAGCTTGACCCTAAATTAAGGCTCTAATCTGCGCAATTCAGGGAGGACGAGAGCGAATTAGGAACATTGTTTAACATGCAATACCTCTGTGTGACTATCAGGGGTGCTAAAGAACTCTGCATCCGTTACTGCTCCAATCTCAAGGCCATCTTTTACCAGTTGTGCTGCAGTGTTCTCTATTTAAAGGAAGACCTAAATATAAAATGTGTCTGCATCTTCAGTGTTCATGTTAAACCCATCTCAGCAGGTATACCTAATATTTCTGTTGTATTTGAACCAACCTGCCCCAAACATTTCACTTTCCCCAGTCTGCCTTTCAAAATAAAACATAGGCTTGTTTCAGTAGGTGAGGAATGAATGTACAGCTGCCACACTGGAGGGAGGGGAAAGTGATGCTTCAGTACCTGCTCTCCTGCTATCTGGCACTGATCTGCTGACATATGTCAGGATTTTCTAAGCTGGTTTTCACTCTGTGTGATAGGTGTGTGTACTTTAAAAGCTCCTTCTCGTTCTTTTTTGGGGTCCTTAGGACCAAGTAAAGCGCTATACAAATACAGACCATTTACCATTTAAGAGGAGCTGACATCAAAATCTGACGTTTACCTCTCGTGTTTTAAGTCTCGTCTTTTCTTTTTCTTCTTCTTCTTTTTGTTGTTGTTGTTGCTGAGCTACAGATGCTGTTGACTCACCAGTTTTCCCCAAATTAAAAACAAATGTGTAACCAAAACAAGATCGAATCAAATATTCGGTGTACGTGTGCATAGCCTGTAGTTGTTTTAAGGGTGTTAAACTGGGGTGAAAGAATTGGCTGATGAATTTGTTTAAATATTGTTGTTATATTATTATCGAATAATCATTTTAAAAACATTTTCATTATTTTATCCCAAACTTTTCCCTGGACCAACATCTCCTGCCCATGTGTAGACCCTTAAAGCAGTGCTTTAACACACACTGACCACCATCCTTTGGTATTTAAGTCTCTGAGGGGCTTTTTCCTTTCACCTATTCAAGCTCCAATCTCTTGCTTTAATCCATGAAGCCTTCAGAAAAGTGCCTTTCATCGCCACATCGCGTTGTCTCTTAACTCCCCGTTGTTCATCCGTCTGCATCCTGTCACCCGAGCAGTTTTCAGGTTTAGCCAGTGTTAGTCCGAGCCACCCAGGACTCAAACATCTGGGGTCATAAACCGGAAGCACCTAAACTTTGGAAGTTTGCAGGTTTCAAACCACTACTTCCACCACCTCTCTGTCCCAGCGCCGTCTTCACAGTGCAACTGCAGATCAGAGGGAGCTCTGCTAACTTAAATTTGTGCTTAAAAGATCAAGTGCCATGATCTGGCTGCACTGCCGTCTCTTTATAATCTCCTCTGAAAGAAGTCCTAACATCTCCTTCCTGCTGGTTAATGTTCATGTTTTTGTTGTTACTCGTTCTGTTGTTGGTTGCATTCAGCCTTAAAGAATTCAATTTAGCGTGTAATTTTTTTTCTTATTATTAGACCACGCACACTGGGTATAGTAAAGATTGGATAGATTATTTTGATGTTTGTTTGTGCACGATAGGTCAGAGATCCATCTTAGTGTAAAGCTGAAGTGCTCGATAGGTTTCAGGAATGTAGCAGTTTATTTGTTGCTCCCGGTATGTTTGATTTGTATTTTTAATGTTGAAAATGGATTAAAAAAAATGTATATGTTTGAGTCTGGCTGCTCTTTGTGTCCGCTGTCAGTGCATTTCAAGGATGCTTGGTGGCAGTCTCCACTGTCACTGCACAACAGATATCCTGCAGAAAGTCTATTCAGTCTTTTACACAAAGTATTTCTTTATTTGACTTCAGTGGATAGGAAAAAAAAAGTTTTTTACCCTCTAAAAAATTTAGATGAATTGTGAAGTCTTCACTTGATTTAGGGTTACTTTATGTTCTCGACATTACAGGATCTTTGTGGAGAAAAGTTTCGCATGAGACTGAACACAAAATGTACTTGTAACCGGTTCATGGAAGCTTTACAAGAATTCAGTTCATGTTTCTGTCCAACACACAAACCTCATGACATCCTCCTCTTAGTCAGATTTAGTGATTTACTGTAAATGTCCCAAACAGTACAGACTACACTCCTTTTCTTTTTCTTGGATCATGATCTAGAATTATAATAATATTTTTGTCTGTGTTCAATTATAATTTTAATTGAATACATGGGATTACAAAGGTTGAAGAAAAAGTCTCATCCACCTCATATTTCCATATATGTCTGTCAGGACTCAGAATCAGAGAAACTTTATTAATCCTAGAGCAGCATGCACCCACACAACAGACAACACAGCAATCCTATTAAATGAAGTGTAGAAGTAGAAATATAAATAATATAAATATATATATTTTTAGAGAGAGACTTTATCTCAACATCTACAGGCAGGCTGTGCACACACAACAACAAAAGTTCTCATCGTGTTCAGGTTTAGTTGTTTAACAACCTGCAGGCCTGCATCAAAATTATAACCGGGACGATGTGCCATTACTCCCGATTCTTGAGTTTACGCTCCGCTTTAAAACTTCCACACTGGAATTTCTCCTATAAATAAATCAATAAATAAAAGCGGACGCAGCACCGTGAGAAAGCAGGAGAGGATGTTGTGGATTCTCTCCTTTATTCCTCTCCAGCTCGTTTCCAAACATTATATAACCAATCTTAAATAACCGCCGCTCTTGCAACTGTGTAATGTCGCAGTTTCAAAGGTCGCAACCCTCCCACAAACGTCCACACAACACCAAACTGACGCATTTCTAATTTGCTTACGTTTGACCTTCAGATTTGTTTTCTTCTCATCAGTTGATGGGCGGCTTTGGGGACAAAAACAAAGAAAAGAAAAGTTTGAAGAAAGTCCGCAGTGTTCAGATCACAGGTCTCTGCGCTCCTGGGACCCTCTGTAGTCCTGAACTAAACCCGGATTCGCCAGCCCCGATGCTGCCGCATCAAACTAAAAATCATTTAAAAAAGAAAAAAAAAGGACAAACAGCCGTTTGACCTAAGACTGAGATCACAGCTCGCTTTTAACTTTTTCTTTCTCTGAAAAAAAAAAGTAGTCTGGGGGAAAATGCAGAGCTGCACGGATCTGCATTTAAACTAATAACCTTGTGATTTTCTACTTTCTTGTTTTCTTTGTCATTTGAGACTCCTCCTGTTGTTAAAGTGAACTCATGTCTTTGAATAATGACGTGCACAAAAGCAGGAGTCAGTAGCTCTTTAAATACTCGGTGAGGAGACAGAAGCACAACTAACATAACTTTAGTAGTTTTCATATGTGGTCACGTTTGGACCAGTGTAAGCAGCAGCGGTGTTTGGATCCCGTGGAAGAAACCAAAAGGCAACATGTATGAGGACACCAGACAAGCGCTCTGAATTATCACATTGATAATTTTCTGTGTGTTTCTAATAAATGCTGTAAAACTCTAATAATAATCATTTAAATTCATTATTAGTTAAACTCATTTAATTTCAAGTGAAATTCTAATTTAAAACATTACCACAACGATAGTGTAGTTTGTGTAACTTTGAAGTGTGGCGTTATATTCAAAAGTTTTCCTTCCGTTTAAAAAAATATTGATTTTTCTTCTTTCTTTTCTTTTTGTTGTTGCAGATTTTAAACGGGGAGAACTGAATCTAAAATTGAAATTTGTGTATTTCTCATGCTTATTATTATATTCAGTAGTCCACGGGCAAAAAAATAAATAAAATAAGAAGATTTTAGAGCAGTAATCGCGCATTTCAATACCAACACGAAATCATATTTATAAAAAGGTACATTTCGTTCAAACAGTTTGACCTTAGAGCCACACAGAAGGCTACTTTGTCTACAGAGCGTCACTCCACAGGTTTTATTTGGCGGGTCTTTTCCTCCCGGGACTGAACCTGGGATTTTTTGTGTAAACCACCACACTGTGGACCACTTGTTAAAGTTAGTTTCCTCCACTTTGTACGTAAAAACTTTGTAGAGAAACCTTCAACGGGCCAGAGCTCCTCTGCGTCCGTTTTAACGAGCAGCAGCATTCACACACACTGCACGCGCACATTTACCGAACAAACAGGAACTCCGTGGAGGCTCGTGTGTGACATCTAACGCACTTTGTTTGTGGTTTTTTTGTTTTGTTTTGTTTTTTGTTTTAAAAGAGTTTCTAAGAGGCTCGTGCAGCCTTTTATGTCCTCGTTTGAAATCTTCCAGTGGGAGACTTTTCCCCTTTAAATTGTGATAAAAACTTCACTTGTTTTTTATATTCACATAGCTGTGTTTGGCATGGCTCCACAGAGGCAACACTCAGGTTTGCTCATTAAATGAAGTTAAAGTGAAAACTCTAACAATTCTAATAAAAATCGTTACACGGATTCTTACACGTGGACATGTTTGCGCAGAGCTTGTGTGAGATGTGTGCCCTCCCACTGACCTCCGGGATTACAGTAATCTCTGTTGATTGATCTGATTGATCAGATTCATCTCCACGAGGCCGCAATCCGCACACGGGGTGGCGGTGGTGGTGGTGGTGGGGGCGCAGATGAGGCAGTCGGTGAATGGTGTAAATAAAGCGTTTTTTTCTTTTGGCCTTTGGGCACGAGCTTTTCCAAACAGTGCGCAGGTCTGGGTGGCTGTAAACACCGGTATCATGTGACGCAGA